ATTCTCTCAATTTTGTCCAGTCTCTGGTTTAGGTGAGCCCGGATCAGCCATCATTGCTCCATCCCGGCCCTGAGCAGTTCCAGGGATCAGATCCCACCCCTGCCAGTCTCTAATGACAATTGATCAGCCCAGGGAAGCAGAGGGTGATACATTTTCAAGGCAAATCTATGAATTCCACCTCACCCAGCTGCAATGAAGGGCTTTTAACTCTCTGCAGCAGGGCAGGGAACTGGGGTGAACCCAGGAACCCCCCAAGCATCACCTGCAAGAAGCAGCAGCTCGGYGCTGGTCCCTACTTCTCATTCCTCTCACGCTTTTTAACCAACAAAAATCTCTTTTAATGAGGAGTAATTGTCATCAAACCTCTTACTCCCATCCTTGAGTCAATCCCAGATGTTTAAGCCCAGTTTGCCTGGAGGACTGTGCTCAATCCAGTCCCACTTAGCCCAGTTGGCACCAGAGTTAAAGCCACATGCTCTCCAGGAGCCTCCAGGAGCCAGAGGGAATCGGATTTTGGGAACAGCAAAGCGAATCCTTCCCCTGTTGTCCCAGAAGGACATTTTGGGGTGTTTTAATTCTATTTTTGTGCTCTATTTCTATCTTTAACCTGACCCCCTTCTCCCCCCAGCGCTCCCAGTGAGGAGGCTGCCGAGCCCAGGCCGTGCAAAACAACACAGAATGTGTCAAACGAACCAAACCAAAAGGAACAAACCAGAAAACAAAACAGAAATCGAGCTGACAATTTGAAACAACCAAAAAAACCCAACAAAAAAACCCATTGGAAATGAAATAATAATAATAATAGTAATAATAATAATAATAATAATGAAATAATGCTGACACAAAAAGTGACTCCTTCCAGAACATTCCCAGTCTGTTTTACCTACCTTCCACGCTTCAACTGCTAACTTACAAGACTTTCTTACAAGAGAACTGAGAGGAACTGAGCTACGAGGCCAGACCAMGCTCCTGGTGGGTTTCTGTATGTGACTGGCTTTTCAAACACCACTCTGCCCACGACGGGTCCCCCCGAGCCCCCCAAACCCTGGCTATGGCAGAAATGGCAATTTTGGAGCCCGCTCTGGTCTCTTTTGCGAAGCTGTCAGCACAAAGGGCAGGGCAGCACATTCCCAGGGATACATTTCCTTCCCCCCAGAGCTCCCCATCTCTTGTGATGGGTGCAGGGCAGGGGTGCTCTGCTCATCCCACAGCCCAGAACCAGCTCAAGGATGGATTTAAGGCACAGAAGGAAATGCTCAGCCCTCTCCAATCGCTGCCACGACGCCGTTCCCTTCTTTTTTATTTCATATTTCTATTAAAACCCGCCTTCCCTGCTCAGCCAAAGCCACCAGAGACGAGAAACCCACCGCAGAGAGGGTCTGACCTGACCTACCCTTGGTCCTGAACCTCATTCTGCAAGCCCCAGGAAGCAGAGCTCAGCCCCAACGCTCGCTCACTCACCCTCTACGCTCCAGCACAGGGACCTACGGGGCCAGGCCTCCTTTTGGGACTTTCTCTGCTCAAAAAGGCGGGGGGGAAGGTCCCAGCCAGCCCCCTTGCCATTTCTCCAACCGAGGAGAACGTGCTGGAGACGCCTCTGGGGAGCTCGTGGCACCGCTTCCTTCACAATCCAGCCCACCCTGTGCGCCCTGGGGACGCCGGGGACAGCGCCGGGAGCCCGGTGCCACCCACCCTGGGTACTTTAGCCATCTGGGTGTCCCCAGCAGCATTTGGGGACCCCTCCCCACCCTCCCCGGGCTCCAGGACGTCCGGGAGGGGCCGCAGAGCCCGCAGCCACAGGGTGGGCTGTCTTTGTGAACCTGCTTGAGACCAGCCAGTACTCACCTGAGCTGCACCTTTTACATGCCTGAAAGTTGACTGTCCAAGCCACAAGAATGACCCTTGCTGATCTTAATTAATCACGTTTTTTAACCCTTTAGGTACCACAGACTTGGGGGGGAGGGGAGAGTGTTTTGTTTGCCTTGCTGAGAGGAGAGGAGGATGGAAAGGAGAGTGGGGCTAACGTGGGGGGAAAATCCTTCCTGTTCCCCTAAATCTGCACCCTCCTCCCTGCCACCCCTGCCTGCTGACCAMGCTCTGCACTCCGCAATTTCCCACYGGGAGAGTTTTTGCCAGGGAGCCTGGGAAGGTTTTTTTTGGCTTTTAACCAAAAAAAGGGCAAACCCAGCTTCTCCCAGCCCGTGAGAAGCCTGGCGGTTCAGACAAGCTACGTCTCTGGTACTTGAAGAGTTAAAACCCAGCTTTACTTTCAAGAAGAAAAAGATACTTTACCTTTAGTTTAATGGATTTTTTTACTTGGGTTATGATGCTCAGGAGGAGCCACCCCTGGCGGGGAGGTGCAGGGAAGGGGCTGCCACATGCGGGTGGGTGTTGGGAGGGGACAGTGGTGGGAAGGAGGGGATGAGGAGGAGGAGGATGAGGAGGAGGAGGAGGAGGCACAAGCTGCCACCGTGATGTGACATCGCCCAGCAAGGGACAGGGACAGCAGGGTGCAGGGCATGCAGGCAGACAAGCAGAGAGCAGAAAAGAGAAGAAGAAAGAGAAGAGAAAAAGAAGCATGGAGCGGGCCGGAGGAGGAGCTGAACGGAAAAGGAGCTGCAGAGGGGGAGACACAAAGAGCCTGTCCCGAGCCAGAAGGTCTGTGAGCCGAAGGATGTCACCCGGAGCAGGGAGTAATCGACTCGTTCCTCCAACAGCCAGCCAGGAAAAAAAAAATGTTTCACCGAGTTACAGGACACTGAGAGCTCCCAGCTGATGGTCTCGAGAGCGTTAAATTAATGAGGCTCTCCCTAAGGAAGCTGAGCTACGGAGAGAGAAACCCGGCCGTGTTCTGGGCAGGTGCCAAGTTAGAGAAAGCCCCAAAGCCTTTCCCTTTCCCCAGATCCCCTTCTCCTCACCCTTTTGGGACCAATTTTCACTAAGCCCTACTGCCACCAGCTCCCAGAGTCCTCTTGCAGCTTGTTTGATTGAACCAGAGAGCGCAAATCCCAGACCCTCTTCTCCTCCCATCCCCACGGATCTCAAGGAGAGAAACCCCTCGGAAAACAGAAGCAGAGTGTAAGTTTAACGCTGATTTTTCAGGTCCTTTCAGTTCATTTCCTCYTTTCCCTCCCCTCCCACCTCCCTCCCCTCCAGAGATGCTCCCTCTGACAGTACCACACTGGGATCAGAACCAGCAGATGTGCAGCAGAGTCAGGAAAGGGTTTTCCTACGAAACGTAGAGAGAGGATGGAGAAAAATGAAAGA